TGAACCTCAGGCTTCCCATCTGCGAATTGGCCATGCATACCCAGAAGGTGGGGCTGTGAGGATTTTGATGGTTAATGTCATGATTTGCTCAAGGTTCCCGCTGTCTCCGTCCCTTCCCTGGAATTTCCGGTGGGTGGCTACTGGAGGAACCTGCTGGAGGCTGGCCACCCTGCTGGCAGCTGGCCTCTGAGGGAGAACACGTTCACCCGACCTGAGTGCCTTCTGACTCTCATGGGGCTTGGGATGCATCTCTACTGTCCTCGGGCTGATTTGGACTCATTCCCTGGAACTCCTGTGTTCATACACACTAGGTAGGCCCGGGGCTTGGCTTCAGCTGGTCCTCAACTGTGGCCACCATCAGAGGCCTCCAGACTATTCTTCCCTGCCCCCCAGCCTGTCTTCCATTCAGTGAAAGCACATCTCCCCAGGCCCTCCTCTGCTCACAACCCTCCATGGCTCCCCAAGGCTTCCGGGACAGAAGCCAAGCCTGGCATTCAGGGATCCTCAGGGCTCACCCCAGCTGCCCATCTCCCCTCGCCTCCCCCACTCCAGCCTGGCCATCATGCTGTGCTCCATCTGACCTGCCCTGATCCCAGTTGAAACACAGCAGTGGTTTGGGCCTCTGTGTCTTTGCTCATGCTGTTCCCCTTGCCTGGAACATTATCTCCATCTGATTTTCACCAGCAGTGCTGTCCTTAGGCTTCTACACTCTCCATAGTGGACCTTCTTTCTTCACCAGCCTCCTACTTCACCACACACTCTGGACGGGGGTTGGGGAGGTTCCTCTGAGCTCCGCCACCCGTGCTCCCACCCCCCAGCCCCCAGTGCTTGCCCCATCACCGTGCCTGGCGCACTGGTCAAAGTTCCCTTTCCTTGAGGCTATGAGCAACTCTAAGGCAGAGGTCCCACTTTGTTTCTTTTCTTTTCTTTCTTTCTTTCATTTTTTTTTCTTAAAGATTTTATTTATTTATTTGAGAGAGAGAGACAGTGAGAGAGAGCATGAGAGAGGAGAAGGTCAGAGGGAGAAGCAGACTCCCCGTGGAGCTGGGGCCTGATGTGGAACTCGATCCCGGAACTCCGGGATCCTGACCTGAGCCGAAGGCAGTGGCTTAACCAACGGAGCCACTCAGGTGCCCCCGACTTGGTTTCTTCACTGCTGCATCCCTGGCCCCTAGCACGGACCCTAGCACCTAGTAGATGCTCAGTAAATAGGGACTGACCAGAGGAGGAAAGAGTAGAGCTTAGCCTTGCCGGCAGAGTGACCAGCAGCTGCAAAGCCTCCAGGTGGAATGATCTGCTGTGATGGGTGACTGTAGGGAGGCCGGCCGGACAAGGAGGAAGGTGAGCAGGGCTCGTGTGGGAGGCCTAAGCAGTTGGAAAGGGAGAGATTCAGCTGAGGCGCTGAAGAACTGGGCATCTCTGTGTCACCTGCCAAGTGCAGTGCCATGGAAGGGGCCACGCCTCTTCCACAGCCTCAAGCCAGAGCCTGCCCTCCCTTTCACCCTGTTCTTTCACCCCGAGCCCTGTGGCTTTGAACAGACAACTTGCAAGCCACCTTCTGGCGAATGACAGGGCTGGTCTGGAATTTCCCGCTGAGAGTCTGTGATGGGTTGGCTTCCCAGTTGCTGCTTCAAGGGTGACCTGGGCCCGGGGTGGGTGTGGCCACTAGGCAACCATTGATCCAGAGCCACCAGGGCCTTGGGTAAAGTACAGATGGGGCCTCATATCCCATGTCACGGGAAAGCTGTCACCCAGTGGACTGCTGCCAGTTGCATGTGTCCAGGCCTCCCTGACCCCTTCTACCTTGTCCTCCATGTAGCTTTGACCCAGGCTGGGTGTCAGAGGGAAGAGGAGGTTTCCAGAGCTATAACGTGTTGACATCACTAATATCTCTCATTTGCTGGGTGCTTTGGTTTGGGAGATTGTCCTTGTGGCATTCCAGGCCAGGCCCAGGGCTTTGTATACCATTGGTGGTCCATAAATGTTTGCTGCCCGTTAATGATGAATAACTTGCAGGTATTAAGCAATGAGTCACTGTTTTACTAACAAGGGTCTAAACAGAATAATGCATGAAGAGTTACTTATCCACCAAACCAGGGACTCTTGTATCTGTATAATCACAGAAGCTGGTACAGTTGTTGCCCCCACTATACTGATGAGTAAATTGAGGCTCAAGAGAGGACAGGACCATACAGTCAATGAATAGAAGAGTTGGAATTTGAACTTTTGTATGTGGACATCCTTAGTCTGATATCTCCAGCCAGCTGGGCGGTATCTGCTCTGTGCTGGGCATGGGTCAGACCATAGTCCCTGCCCTGAGGGTGGGGACAGATCTGCAGTGTGCCTCCATCAGGGCTCTGTCAGGAAGCACGTCCTGGAAGAGGTGGCATTTATTTAGGACCTTAATGATCAGGGGGCGTTGGGAAGCTAGAAATATGGGATAAGCATTCCTGGTTGGCTTACAGCCTGAGCAAAGGCCCAAGGGTATGCGGTATGAAAATTACAAACTCTTCCACCACTCAATAATGAAACCATCGTATTGACCATATCCTCCTGAAGGCCCTCCTAAGAACCTCAGCCTCTGAGCTCACCCTCAAAGCCAGTGGTGGCTCCAGGCAGAAGGCCGCACCTGTGCTTACGGACCCAAGACGTGTCCCAGTAGCCCCTGCCTCCTTCAAGAGAGTGTGTAGGAGTATGAATCCTGAGGGCTCACACATACTAAGTGTAGATCACCTGTTTCATCTTCAGGAGAGCCTTCTGAGAGAAGCACGATCTTTAGCCCATATTGCAGATTGGCACACTGAGGCTTAGAGAAACAGCATGCTAATCATCCCATATACAAGAAATGGCAGAATTGGGACTCAAACCCAAGTCTGTGGATCCAAAGTCCATGCTTTTAAAACCCTCTGTCCTCCCAGGTCCAGAAGAAGCCCAGAACTTTCGCTTGAACTCCTCGGGATGAGTGGTCTGTGATTGCAAATATTTAACATTTAGCTCACTGGAAGGAAAAAAAGCCTTTCCCCCCCTTGTTTCCAAGGCGTAACAATTCCCATCAATGGCTAATACCGAGCTACCCATGTGACATCATGGACCTTGGAGTTGGAGAGATGAGCACAATTAGCTGCTTCAAGTGCTAAGAGTCAGTTGCAGCACCCACCTGGTGACTCTCCATCCCCATCTGGCCTGTGTGGCCGGTGAAGGACTTCAGGAGTGAATAAGAGAAACCAAGAAACTGGCTCCTCCAGCCCCGGGGCCCGCCCAGAATCCCAGGAAGCTGCGGTTAATCTTTAAGTCAGCCTTGCAAACAGGAACAGTTGTTCTCCCCGCCCAGGCTGGCTTCAGGTGCTGGCTCTGACTGGCTGTGGGACTTCCAGCAGCTGCTTCCGCCTCTGGCCTCAGTTTACCAACCATAAGAACTATCACTAGCTGATACCATTAGCTGAGTGCAAGCTTGGCCACCCTCATCCCTGTCCATTCTGACCTTCCCAGGAGTCTTCTGTGGCCACGTTTACTTCTGTTTTGCAGGCAAGGGGATGGGGCTGGGGAAGTCAATGGGTTTGTACAACATGCCCCAGGTGGGCAACTGGTCTAGATTTGAACCCAGATCGGGCTGGCTCTAGGCCTTGCTCGTTCCTGGTCTCTTGGAGGCGCTATTGTGCTCTGAGGCCTTTGCCTCCTATATTCTAGGGTTTGCCTCCTATATTCTAGGGTTCGCCTCCCAGCCTCTCTCAGGAGGAGAAGCCTAGGCCTGGTGCTATTGGATCTGGCTGGGCCTTAGTTTCCTATCTGTGAAATGGGAGAACTTTCAGAGAAAGAGAGAGGAAGCAGGTGGAGGTACTTAAAGCTGGATTCAGACCCACCCCTCCCTGTGCCATGATTCCCAGAGGACAAGTGAAGAGCCAAATGTGGGGTGCCATTCTGGAGCATGGGCTGGGAGGTGCTGGGGGTAACATTGCTGGCATAGCATTTGGGGGAGTCTTTGTGGCATAAAGCAGCACTTCCTTATGTCCCCTTTCTCTGCTGAACTCTTGGCCCCCTGCATCCAGATGTAATTTGCCTCCTTATTTCCTTGGAAGTGCGATTGCCGCTAAGTACTGGCTTCAGCCCCCTCATAAGCAGGAATATCTAGAACTCAATGACTTCTGATGAGCTGCCTTAGTTAGTTTCGTTTTTTAAATACACATTAAAATGAACACCTGTTGGGGCACCTGGGTGGTTCAGTTGGCTAAGCATCTGACTCCAGTCATGACCTCAGGGTCCTGGGATTGAGCCCCGAATCTGGCTTCCCATTCAGTGGTGAGTCTGCTTGTCCCTCTCCCTCTGCTCCTCCCCCCTCTCTGCTCATGCTCTCTCTCTCTCTCTCAAAGAATAAAATCTAAAAAAAAAAAAAAAAAAAAAAAAGAAATGTTCCTCCTCCCCACTCTGCTCTTCCTTCCTCAATCCTCAATCCTTACTTTGGGAAACAGGTCAAGGCCAGGGTCCAATGCTTGATTTTCAACTTACTTCTCTGTGCCTCAGTTTCTTCATCTGTAAAATGGGGATAATCATCAGTCTGCCCAGCCTAGGTGTTGTTAGGAATAGATCCTAGAGTTGACCTGAGCCATTAGCCTGGTGCCTGGCAAGGAGTGAGGGCTTCATTAGCGCTGACCTTATTATTATTATTATTATTATTATTATTATCGGTAATTGCGAAAAGTGGATTTGGGGTAAACAGGGTGGGTGGGTTGGGGGCTGTTAGGGAGGGCATTTTGGCTTGAGGGCCTTTTGGGGTCCCACAGGGTGGGGCGCTCTCACGGGGCAGGGTGGGGGCAGGGTTTCTGTGCCTCCGCCCCCGGCCCTGCCCCTCCCGGACCCCCGGGTCCGGTGGGGTGGGGGGGTCCCCATGTGGGTCTCTCCTAGGTCACCGGCGGGGAATCCGTCCCCGCTCCCTTCCTCGTTCCTCCTCCTCCCGGCGGCCTGCCGGGCCCCTCCTCCCTGCTCGCGCGCTCCCTCCCTCCTCTTCCCCTCCCCGGGCCGCCTCCTCCTCCTCCTCCTCCTCCCTTTCTCTCTCGATCTGTCTCTCCCGGCCCGGAATCCATTCCGGCCTGGGAGCCGGAGCGGCCAGGCCGCCGTCTGCCCGACCCCTGAATGTCCCGCGGTCTGCCCCCGCCACCCCGTGCGTCTGTCTGCCGGTGCGCCCGCCTACCGACCGGTCCAGGTGAGCCCCCCCCACCCCCCGCCCCTCCGCGGACCCCCGGTCCCGGGCGGCATGGGGGAGCCCCCGCCAGGGACCACCGTGGTGGCGGATCGCCGGGCCGCGGGGGGCTCCTGTCCACCCCTCCAACCTCCACCCCCGGGTCCGAACCGCGATCCCGGAGCGCTGGGCTGGCGCACGGGGACCTGCCCGGCGCGGCCTTTTGTTGTGATGCCGCGGGGGGAGGGGGCTGGGCGGGGGGCTCGGGGGTCCTGTCGGCGCTGGGACCACCTCCAGCTCACCCTTCTCCTGCAACCCCCTGAGAGCAGGAGCCAGGCCGAGCCCCCGGGGCCAGGTCTAGGCCAAATCTGAAATCTGAGCCTGTCGGCGCCGCCTCTGGCCGCCGCTGCCGGGCCTGGCGCCCCCGGCCGGGGATGGGAGGTGGAGAGGGGGCGGGTAGGGTGGGCCTGGGGGCGCAGAGCCAGGGGCGCGGGGCCGGGGCACCAGGACCTCCCTATCCTACTGGGGCTTAGGGTAGGGCCTGGTGCCGCCGGTCTGCAAGGGACTGGGCCACACTGTTGGTCCCTGCTGCCCCCAGCCCCCCAGCCTCGCCCCTGGCAGGCCCAGCCGCTTGCCTGATCAGAAGTTGGCAAAAGTTTTGGGTTTTCTTTACCAGGCGGGGTCCATCTCTCTGCCTGGGCTTTGGCTGGGGGTGAGTTTGAGTGCCAACGGGGCCAACCACTTGCCCAGCTCTGTGTGGTCAGAGGACTGCCTACCCTCTCTGATCTCGGGGTCCTGATCAGTGGCAGGTGGGTCTGGCTGTGACTCCTGGGGAAGGATGGGGGTGGACAGAAGAGGCTCACCTGTGGGGTATCAGGTCTGCCTCTGGGGCCTTCAGGCTGAGCGGACAGTGGGCAGAACAAGTGAGGCTTGGCCAGGTGGGGTCCAAGCTTCAGGACCTCCACAATGGGCACAGTGGTCCCTGGGTTACCTGCGGGGAGTCCAGGCCCAGCCACAGTGCCGCTGACGTCAGACTTGGTTTCAAGAAGAGGCCAGGCTGGTCCTGTTCCTGACCCTCTTCTCAGCCCCCTGGCCAGGTAGACAAGACACCGAGACTTCTTGTCTCACTGGGTGACCTGGGCCAAGGGATGACCCCTCTGAGCCCCACATGTGGAATGGGAGAATCGACATGTGGGAACCTGGTATGTAGTAGGTGCTCAATAAATGAGCGCTTCACTGGATGAATTGCTTAAAGTGGGTGGGGCCGAGGGTGCAGGTCCTGTGGGACTCGTGTCCAGAAGAGGATGGATTGGTGTCCGGGAAGCCATCTCATCACCCCTTGAGAAGGAGACAGCTCCAGCACAGTCCCGCCGGCCAGCAGCTGTGTAGCCTCAAGCTGCTCACTGCTTCCTCAGGCCTCAGTCTTATTAGGTATAAAACAGGCTGAATGGAGAAACTGAGGCTCAAAGAGGGGAGGCGAGTTGACCAAGCTCACGCAGCTTGACCCCAGAGCTTCAGAGACCCCAGTCTGGCTGCCCTTGTACCCCTCTCCAGTGTTGGGGGAGCAGGGCTTTCCCAGTCTGGGGCCGGGCCCACAACAGTGGTGGAAAAGATGGATGAGTGATCGCATGGAAGCCGTGAGGCCCTTTTGGTGGAGGGGTGATGTGGTGTGCCTTGGTGATGTGGTCTTTCCACACAGGGAAGTGATTTACAATGTGTCACCTCTCTCAGCTGACTGCCTGCCTAGGCCCTCCTGGGTGGCCCCTGGGCTTTTATCCTGAAGGTGTCCCTGCCAGCGTTGCCCTCTCCTCTCTGAGCTGCTTATCTGTTCTTGCTCTTGAAAGCTTAATTTCAGGCCCTCCTCTTCCAGGAAGGCTCCCTGGCTCTGCCTCCTCTCCCCAGCCTCTTCCTGGAGCACGAACTCTCTCCACCTCACAGCATTGTGCCTGCTTTGGCTTCTTCCCTGATTGTGACCTGGTGGGTAGGTGGGGGGATGTCTGGTTCCCTTAAGCCCCAGGAGCCAGGGAGTAGATGGTTCAGTGACCTGATGACAACTACCCACCCCACCCCAAACCCCTGGTCCTCAGTTGACCCCATTTTCCCAAACCTGCTTATATGCAAATATCCATGACCCTGTATGAGCTTCTGCTGTATACTAGGAGCTTCTAACTCAGGCTGAGCAGTGTGGTGATGGGGTTAGTAGTGGGAGTTGTAGGAGGCATCAGTCAGGAGGCTTCCAGGAGGTGGTGCTCAGGGAGAGCAAGAAGTTTGCTCAACAAAGAAGGAGGGAGGGTGTTCTTTCTTCCCTTCTATTCAGACACTTCCCAGGGCCTCTGGGGTTGTGGAGTGTGGTCAGTCTGGGTAGGTCCTTGCTGCGGAGTTGTGAACAGGTCCCCGGCCTCTCAGATATTTGAGTCTAGAGTGTGAGCCAAGTAGCAAACAAGTTGCCAAATAAATTAACATATAATCATAGATGCGATAAGGGCATAGAGAGAGAGGCGTGGGGTACAGGGGAATCTAGAAGGAAGTATGTAGGAGCTGGCCAGGCATGGAGCTAGGGGAAGGGCTTGCCAACCAGAGGGAACTGCATGTGCAAAGGCCCTGAGGTGGGGGAGTATGTCTTGTTATGGAGAAACAATGGGAAGGCCTCTGAATCTAAGAGTGTGGAGAATTAAGGAAAGTGGGTGAAAGGTGAAGTGGGGGGTGTTATGGGGGTTGTTATCAGCAGGCCTGGACGATATGGGGCTGTGTGGGCCTTGGGGAGGAGTTTGACCTTCATCTTCACACAAGAGGCTAATCGGTGTCCCCTGTGTGAAGAGCCCCATGCTGGAGGCAGTGGGTACGGAGCTGTTCAAGGCACCTGGGAGGAATAAATCTGTGGGCTGGACTCCAAGCATTCTGTGGGGGCCTAGATGAGGAGTCAAGAGGAGGAGGCATTTGAGGCTGGGCTTTGAAAGTGGAGTAGGAGTTCACTGGCAGGAAGGCAGGAGAGGGGGGCAGCCAGCTGTTGGGGTGGTGCATGCAGGGCGGCCAGAGGCTAGCAGTGAGGTGGGAAGCAGGCAGCTGGAGACCAGAGGTATGATAAGGGCTCAGGAGTCAAACAGATCTGTGTTTGAATTCTGTCTGTCTATACTTGTCGTATCTTTGGGTCATTCGCTGTAACCTTCTGAGACTTACTTTCTTCGTCTTGAAAATGGAGACAATAAATATCTCCCTATCAGCTGACAGTTAAAGGAGGGCTGTACAGCCCCAGTGCATGGGGCCAGCAGATGCTTAGGGAGGGGGACCTGCCTTGAGTGGTATTCTACTGGGTGGCTCAGTGGGCCCAGTGGGTCTGGCCTCGTTGCCTGTGTGGTGAAGGCTTTAAGCAGATGAGCTCGTGGAGTCTGAAGGTGCTGGTCTGGGCGGGAATGGCCTGGGAAAGCCTCCTGTGTGCTGGGGGATTTGAGTCCTGCTCTGCCCTTTCTGCGCAAGGAGGCTCAGCTGGGGAGAGCACTACTGGTCTGCCTCCGCCCAGCTTCCCGAAAAGCCTGCCTTAGGTGAGATCGATCCATTTTCTAGATATAAATAATAAGACCCCGAGTGGAGAAGCCACTTTCTGCCTGGGTCGTGTGGCTCCCACACCTCTCTCTCCCCTTGGATCCCTACTGCCCTTTGCTCCTGCCCACCCACCGCTCTTACCCTCTTATCTCCATAGCCGAACACCCTGGTTTCCACTCAAGCCACTGGGCAGGGCAGGGGTGGGGGTGCAGGTACTTCCTCTGGGGCGCCTCAGTTTCCTCATCTGTGAAGTGGGATAATATGAGTCATGGCTTCTAGGATGCCCCAAGGGGACTGAAACAAGGCATTTAGCACACATTGACTAGATGAATAGGGGTGGAGAAGACCCAGACCCTCCTCAAGTCCTTCCTCCTCTGGCAGTGGACAACCCCTTCCTGTGACTCAGTTTCTGAAGCTACAAAGTGGGCCTGGAGCTTACCCTTGATAAGGTCAAAGGGAGAGTGGGATGAGATCGTCTCTGCCTTTACCTGGGGGCTGGCCCTGCATCACAATTCGGTGAAAAGCAGGCCCAGTGCATGCTTCCTTCCCTGGTGGTCAAGGTCCCGTTCCCACTGTATGTCCAGAGGAGCCTCGGCCTCAGCACACCTCCCCTGTGAAGATGGAATCTGCTAATTTCTCCCGGTGCCTCAAATCTACTGGATGCTCAGTAAATGGGACATCTTTCTCCCTCCCCTCCCTCGTCGGGGCTCAGATCGTATTCAGTCTTAGGATGGCCCAGGCCTGCGCTGCTGTGTTGAGAAGGCTTCTGAGGCCCAGTCTTGGCTTCCCGGGAAAGACTGCTGTAAGGGATTCGTAATGTCTGCTATTGGCAGATGATTTGAGCATGTTGTACACACGCCATGGGTTTGTCATGCCTGGTCTGTTCTGACCTTCTCTTTTCACAGATGGGGGAATTGAGGCCAGAAAGACCCAGGACGTATTATCCAAGCTGGGAGAAAAAGGCCTGTCTCCTGTCTTGATCTAGGCCTCTCCCGACTCAGCCAGCCTGCCCCTTCCCACGGGACAGCTTGGGTGGGGCCGAGTCAAGGGGTAGATGAATGGGGAGGATCCCAGAGCCCACGGCCAGAAGCCAAACCCCCGTTCCCTGGCTCCCTGCTATAGGACCTTGAGCAAGTGACATCCTTCTAACCTGGGCCTCATTCCCTCTCCTCCCAGCAGAACCACCCAGGGGTTTCCAAAATAAAATGAAGAGTGTCTCCTACCCTGGTCCTCAGTTTCCTGCTCTGTGTGGGGAGGACTTTTCCCTCACTGAGGCTGTGCGGTGGGGATCCTAGGTGCGGGGGGTCCTCCAGGGCAAGCCTGACGGAGTCCTCTTTGAGCCCACGTGGGGCTGTTAGAGACTGTGGGAAGGAGTCCTCTGGGTTCCCAGACCCGCTGGGCTGCGAGGCTGGCACAAGCTGACTCCTGGTGCTGGGGGTGGAGGTTGGGGTGGTGATGGTGTCTGGAAACTCAACCTGTCTATT